CTTCTCACTTGGCACAAGTATTAGTGCATTGTTTTTTATGTGGAAAAAGGCCCAAACACTTACGGTATATGACTTTAATAGATTTTGTTTTTGAGAAGGCATTGAACTCACAAAATAAAACCACATGTTTTATTCTTATACGTATGTGTTCTTATGTGTATAAAAATGATTCTAAGCTGGGCGTTGGTGGCGCACGCCTTTAATCCTAACACTCGGGAGCCAGAGGCAGGCGGATCTCTGTGAGTTCGAGGCCAGCCTGGTCTCCAGAGCGAGTGCCAGCTACACAGAGAAACCCTGTCTCGAAAAACCAAAAAAAAAAAAAAAAGGTTCTAGAAGCTGTTTAATCAAGTTAGCAACAGTATTACAGTCCGGTTGAGAAAGTTACAGACCACCATGCATTTAAGGCCAAATAAGAGTCCTTTAAGCAGTGACTGGGGACAGGCTATTGTCACAAAGAACTTTCAAGTTCAAAATTCAAGGGCACAGCATTTATAAACAAAACCGAGAACCATAATGACGTCATTGCCAGGAGTAGGTCAGGGGAACATGGTAACATTTGTTTAGGATGTACATTCAGGAGTCATTTTGGTTATATATCTGGGCCATGGTCAGGGACAAGGAAAGTCCCAAAAGTGTTTCCAAAGTGGACGTGACTGTTTAGAGCCATCAGGGGCTGAACAGGTTCAAAGGGAAGTTAGGGCAAGATCAGTAAGTTACCTTTGGGAGAAAGCTGGGCCTGGGAAATGAGCTAAGGTAAATGCTATTTTATCTGCACTTCTTGAATCTCATACAGTGAAGAATGTCTCTGTATGCATTATCTGTGTGTCTTCTGTTATATTTTGAATATGAAAGATGGCCCCACATTATGCACATATATGCAGGCAAAACAACTTATACAAATAAATCTAAAATTTTTAAAAAATAAAATGAACATATAGAAGAGCCTAACTTAAGTAATGATGCTTCAGAAGAATTAAGAAGCCTGCATTGTCAGTTGTCTGAAATGTGTAGCCGCTTAGACAAAAGCAAGCCCTCTGTCACTGAGCTACGCCCGCCGCTGCTTTCTTTTGTCAAACATTGAGTCCAGCTTTCAATCAAGTACCTGAACTGGACGTCAACCAGCTCTGTAACCCAGGAAGACTGTGGACTTGAAATCTTCTCACCTCAGCCTTCCTAGTGCCAGGACTAAAGGACCACCAAGGCCAGCTGCACTAACATTTTTAAATAGCCAGTGGCTAACGCAAACATGTATTTTAGATTTGCCCATTAACCTTTTTCACCCAGACAGAAGTACATTAGAGAATAGTGGGTTTTCCAAGGAAAAGATGACGATGGGTTGGATTTGGCTATGCTTTATTATTCAAAAATTTATTTTAAAGTATCTAAAAACAAAAATTTGTACACATTTAGGGGGTACTATGTCCTGATGGTGTGAATGGGAAAAGCCCCCCCCCAACAGACTCACATATTTGAATACTTGGTTACCAGTTGTTGTTTGGGGACATTGTGGAACTTTCAGAATATGAAGCGTTGATGGAGTAAGATTGTTACCGGGGGCGGGCTTTGAGAGTCTATAGCGTACCCATTTCCACCACCCTCTGTCTACACCCTCCCCCCTCTCTGTTTTTGTGTGCAAGCGTGTGTTTCCTCCATATGGCTAGAAAGGTGATTAGCCAGCGTCCTGCTCCAGCCATGTGCTATCGTGCCCTCCCTGTCATTATGGACCCTACCCTGTGGAACTGTAAACCCTAAGTTGCTTTTGGTCACTGCATTTCATCACAGTAACAGAAATGGATACACGTGTAATGCTTTGACACGTGAATACATCATACAATGCTTAAGCCAGGCTAATAATATCTCCTCAAACATATCACGCTTATGGTAAAACAGCAACAAAAAACATTCAAAACCTTTTCTAACTTTTCAGAACACACAGCACATCATCACTCTTCCTAGTCACCCTGCTGTGAATGGCACACCCCCCTCACTAACTGTCAGTTAGTACCTGTTCATTACCCTTTCTCCACGGCCTCTTTTCTCCTCCTCCAGATTGTTAGCCACAGTCTCAACTTGGTTGCAGTCATGATTTGCTATCTGTTATTTTCCTTTTGAAAAGTATCATAGAACTCACTTTAGGTTTATGGCATCTGCTGTGTGCCACCAAGCTTCAAGGAAAAGTATTAGCAAGGTGTTTTTTGTTTTTTTTTTTAATCATGTCTAAAAAATGATTAATTTTTAAATGTTTGAGTTTAAACTCTCCAACTTTGCTTTCAGAGCCTTCATTCTGTGGCTGTAACTTGACTTGAACTTTCCAGTAGTTCTCACAATGCAACTCAGCATTATGAGATGGCAATATCTCAAGATAGAGTTAAATAGTCAATGAAATTCATGGAATATGGGGGTAGAGTGATTTAGTTCTTCTACCAACCAGAATTTGTAAATAAGTGTGTGTGTGTGTGTGTGTGTGTGTGTGTGTGTGTGTGTGTGTGTGATGTGTATCTATTTGGGGTGTGAAGGTCAAAGGACATCTTTGTAGAACCATTTCTCTCCTGTCACCTTTCTATGGGTTCTGGTGATTGAACTCAGGTCATCGGACTTACCTATTGAGCAACCAGCACCTTTATCCACAAAACCACCCCACTGGCCCCAGATGGACTTCTTAACACTTCTTGCTTTCAATACCCTCATCAGGAAAAAAAAAAAAAAAAGCATCGAATACTTTCAGGTTAAAATGCGTAAATGCGCCCTTCCCGCCGACCGATCCACAAGAGCCCTCATCCAGTGGCTGATGGAAGCAGAGACAGACATCCACAGATATACACTGAACTGAAATCTAGAATTTAGTTGAAGAGAGGGAGGAATGAAGAGCGAAGGGGTCTGTACCAGGTTCCCTGGTGCAAGAAGGGACTTTGAGAGCCCATCCTACGTGAAGGGTTATACTCTGGCCCTGGACACATGGGGAAGGGCCCAGGACCAGCACAGGAAGATGTGATGGACTTTGCAGAGCCACCGTTGAGGGTCCTACCCTGCCTGGGGAGTGTTAGGTGGATGAGGTGGGGGGTAGGCTGGGGGTGGGGGAGGAGGGATAGGGGTGAGGGGAGGGAGAGGGAGAAGGGACTTACATGTGAAACAAGCTTGTTCCCTAACTTAAACTAATAAAAAAAAAATGTGTAAATGCAAGCTGGGCGTTGGTGGCGCACACCTTTAATCCCAGCACTCGGGAGGCAGAGGCAGGTGGATCTCTGTGAGTTCCAGGCCAGCCTGGTCTCCAGAGTGAGTGCCAGGACAGGCTCCAAAGCTACACAGAGAAACCCTGTCTTGAAAAACCAAAAAAATAAAAATAAAAAACAGTGTAAATGCCTCATGGGAACTGTCTGATGTAGTTGTTATTTTTGCATTTCATAGATAAAGAAATGGAGGGCTAGAGAGATTAACGGATCAGTCAAAATCAACCACAGAGTGACTGGCAGAGCCTGAGACATAGATCTACGTGCTACTATGGGAGGCATCTTCTGAGATACTACTTTTATATCACTTGATGCTTTTAATATGACTAAGAATCTGGGAGCACTGATTTCTAAGCTTTGTACTTCTTTTACAAATGTTGGAAATTTTGTGTAACTGTTTGAGTGACCCATCCCTAGCATCTCTACAGCAGCAGGTCTGCCTAGGAATGAGTTGAAGCAGAGACTCTCAGGATTCACATCAGAGAACATTATTTTTTTTTTTGCAGATTTTTTTTATTTGAATTAGAAACAAGATTGTTTTACATGCCAATCCCAGTTCCCTTCTCCCTCCCGTCCTCCCCTACCACTCCCCAACTAAAACCCTACCTATCACATATCCTTCCGGAGAACATTATTATACAAGGTGAATGATTAAATTCTAAGCTTTACAGTTGACCATAACTGTTATCTCTGAGGAACTTTTTGTTTTAATGTTGGAATAGCATGGCTATTAGCTTAGTGAGAGGTTTTGTGTATACCCAGAAAGCCATGAGATTTGTCCTGAAGATCAGAAGAACTTCTTGTGCTCAGAGGGAAGACTGCTCTGGAATCTCATGACTGTAGATAATGCTTCAACTACAGCAGGGTGAACCACTAGTCTTTGAGGTTGTAATAAGAGCAGATGGTATCGGGAGAAAGTGTGACTCGGTTAGGCATAACTGTTCCCAAAGTCACAGGCTCTGGCTCACACTTCAGTCATGAAAATCTTGGCATCAAGACATTTTTTTTTTCCAGGCAGGAAAATACCACACAGTGACAAGTAATCCAGACAAGATGGTAAACATAAAAGAAGTATATTGATAGGTGTCTAAGGGTCAGGGTGAAGTCTGGAGTAAATTTCAGGCATGTTAAAAACGGATAAGAAGAAGGCAGAATCCATTTATAGTGTGACTTCAGCAGACAGGTTCTGAAGGCTCAGATAAAATCAGGCAGGGTCCAAAGGGGATGTGAGACTTCAGAGCAATGCACACCAGTCCTCAGAAGCAAAGTGATAATAGCCCAGTAACTGGGAATCGGACAAATACTTCTTACAATCTTTTGCCCAAGGTTAAGATTGGTCTTACAGAGTTAAAGAGATCCATTAGTTGGAGTTCAGAGGCAAGAGTAGACCTAGCACTAAAAGAAGGTAATTTGTTTCAAAGCCTCAGAGTCCCGGTCAATCCTTACAAGGAGGCTGAGCTTCCTACATAAAACTTCTGAGGGAGCTGGGGATACAGCTCTGTTGGCTGAATGCTTGTCTTTACACAAAGGCCTGGGTTTTGCTCCTAACAATGCCTGAAACTAGGCATGACAGTGTATGACTGTAATATTGGCACTGGAGAGCTGGAAGCAGGAGGATCAGAGGTTCAAGGTCATCCTTGTCTGAACAGTGAATGTGAGACTCCAGGGGACATGAGAGAAAAGAAACAAAAAGCTTCCTTAGTACTCTGGAATTCCAAAGGAATTTGCATGATTAGAACTTTCACCAATGGCATTTGGTATATAATTGCAAAGTCATATTTTGCTGCACTTTACAGGTTTTTCACCATTGAGATATTTTTGGAAGAAAGTTTGAATTTGTTGCCAGGCATCCACCTGTGCCCTTGCCTGAGCCCTTGGCTCACCTCCATAGAATACTGCTTCACCTAACACTGCATGAACAGAAGCCCTGGAAGGAGGGAAATACGGTGGGTCAATACAGTGACCAGTTTCTGGATAGTAGATTATCTGGGGTCTGTCTTTCCCATGGGCTTGTAGACGTCCACAGGCTATATGAGCATAGAATTCACTCTTCCAGTTATGATCATCCATGCCCACAATAAACAGGAAGGGTCCCTGGGCTTTTTCTAGTGGAATAAGACTTTTGTGGTTAGGTTCCTCCAGTGGGTTGTTCCAAATATCCACCAAATCCCAAAGGCCTGACTCCATGGTCTTTTGTTTCGTGGGGTCACAGCCAAGATCTGGAATAAATAGATCTTTGTAATACAGAGGAGCTATTGTGTTGGCCACACAGGCATTGATAAGGACAGTGGCTGTGATGTTCCTTAGGAAAGCAGCCATCGAGAGGCACAGGTCACCGCCTTTGGAGAAACCAAGAAGACCAACATTTGGGCCTTTCACCTGATGAGGAGAGAGAACAAGTGTGGAGTTCATGAGTGGAAAGCATGCGGTGATTTTATGTCCTCCAAATACCTCGCTCAATATAACTTCTTTGTCCTCCTCATACAATTAGCTAGAAAGTTCAAGCATGCCCACCAATAAACAAATGAATTGATTTCTGAGTATGTACACCATCTAATGCTTATAAAGACAGGGTAAGAGTATACATAAAGGCACTTATAAACTAAATTAATGAACAAACTGTTAAATATTTTCCCTACCTTGATGAATATATCACCATAAAAATATATGTAAGATTGCTGGGTGGTGGCAGCTCACTCCTTTAATCCCAGCACTTGGGAGGCAGAGGCAGGTGCATCTCTGTGTGTGTGTGTGTGTGTGTGTGTGTGTGTGTGTAATCAAGCTCAATTTAAAATCTTACAACTTGCTGGGTGATGGAGCACACTTTTAACCCCAGCACTTGGGAGCCAGCTCAGCTCGATCTACAGAGTGAGTTCCAGGACATCCATGGCTACACGGAGAAACCCTGTCTTGGAAAAAAATCTCAGAACTCACTTGTAGCTCCGTATTGATGTAGCAAGAAAAACCAGGCATGGACCCCAGATTCTGGGGTCTGCCTTCTTTTTCCATCATGGCTTCTTTTGTGTACCTTAAAAGGCCTTCATTATGTGTGGACACACAACTAACATGTTTAAGGTCTAGGTGCATATGTTCTGGTCAATACAGAGAAGAGGCATAGGGCTTGGACACATAGTCAGAAATGCCAGGCAGAGAATGTGAGAGTTCCACACCTCAAGAGTGTGGCTAAGAGCATATAGGTCCCAAATAGACAAATTTCCTTGACTCTTCAGACTCCTCACCCTGCGGGAAGGAGTCCAGCCAAAGAAAGACCATAGAATGGTAATGTAAAACAAAGGACCCAGGCCAGGAACCACTCTTGCCAGGGGTTAAGGGGTCAAATATACAATGCATTTTGACTTATTTTTCTAGGGCCTTAATTTCTTCCCTTAATAAAACCATCACAGTTCCAGATCATCTGGCTGGCCTAGAACTCACAGAGATCCTCCTGCCTCTGTCTCCCAAATGCTGGATTAAAGGTGCATGCTACTCTGCCCAGCTCATTTAGGTTTTAATAGCTCTGCTGGGAGTTGTCCCTGAACTCCAACAAAGAGCATCCTACAGTCCTTATAGATCATCTTATCCCTTAACATTAGAATATTCTAGATTCTAAGTTTAGATGGCAGCAAAAGTTTGTGTCATTCCACTTACATTCACAAAAATATTTAAAATAAATTTTCTGATATCAGATATTCATAAAGCATAATAATAGTCTTAAGGTTATCACTACCATGATAAAATACAATGACCAAAGCAACTTGTGAAGGAGAGGGTTTATTTGGCTTACACTTCCACACCTCAGTCCACCATGAAGGAAGTCAGGGCAGGAACCTGGAGGCAGAAGCTGATGCAGACACCACGGAGAAGTGCTGCTTACTGGCTCCTCATGGCTTGCTCAGCCTGCTTTCTTATAGAATCCAGGACCACCAGACCAGGGGTGGCACCATCCACAAGGGATTGGGCCCTCCCCTACCAATCACTAATTAAGAAAATACCTTATAGACTTACCTACAGCACAATCTTAAGGAAGCATTTTCTCAACTGAGGTTCCCTCTTCTCTGATGACTCTAGTTGTGTGAAGTTGACATAAAACTAGCCAGGACAATAATTTTTATCACACTTATAGCACTGATGAGAATCCTTAATATCATCAAAACACCATCTGTATTCTGGTGTCACCAATGGTCTCAAAGATAATCTCTTTTCAGTCAAACATTTCCCACTAACAACTTATATTAATGTCAGTAATGAGGAAAGTCAAACCTCCGAGATGTCAGCTGCCTTACTTGGGCATTTGTGGGAGGAAAATTCAAGGTTAGCAGCTTCTTAGTGCAGTGCTTTAGAGTTACGGTAGTTAAAGATGGCACTAAACAGTCCAATCTTAAGAAATAGAAAGACAGGCAGAAATAGAAATGATCTTGGTAGTTGTTGAGGGAGTGCTAGATCTCCCTTCTTTTCTCTAATGCCCAGTGTCTTGCCAGGGCTTTTGGCCCTGGCCCTGAGTCCACTCCACGCCCTCTTTGTATTCAGGACAGCACTGGAACCCACCTTTGGATGCTGCAGCATAAAGGTCAAGGCTTCTTCAAAGTACTCCAGGTGCACATCACTCAGATATTCAGGGAGGTCTTCAAATCTGAAGTAAGCCAGAGCAAGTACAGCAAAACCATGCCCAGCCAGGAGGCTGGCTCTGTATTCACACAGGCCACCACCACTTCCAAACAAATCCATGATCCCAGGAAACCTCCCCTTGCCTGCAGAGCATCACATATCACATCACAAAAAAAAAAAAAAAAAAAAAAAAAAAAATGCCTTAGCTGCTCAAAAGACATTTGGGGATTCAGATTTTGACAATCAGCAAGGAAAAGTCTTTGAAGTCAGGAATGAAGTGGCTGGAAATATTTGTGAAACAGGACCCTTCTTACTTTATTTATTTATTTGGAGATATGGTCTTACTACATTGTATGCAGTGGCCTGGAACCTTTGACCCTCCTGTCTCTGTCTCTCAACAGAGGAGTTACAGATAGGTGGCACCACATCTGGCTTTTGTTTCCGACAGGGTATCACTACGTAGCTCTGTCTAGTTTGGAACTTACTATATAGACCAGGCTGGCCTCAAACTCACAGAGATCTGTCTGCTTCTGCCTCCTGGGATTAAAGGTATGCGTCACCATGTCTGGCTATTTGTTTTTAATAACCTACAGAGAAAAGAGAAGTGAAACAAAATGTCTCCCCCCCAAATTTGTCATTAATAATAATAAATAAAGTTTAAAAACAATGCATGCCTTCCAACAACTTTTTTCAGCTTTCTCAGACAATATCTGAGGACGCTTTATGGGTGTAAGACACTCTTACGTACAGTAGGGGTTGGGGGGGCATTCCTATCCCCCTTTTATCTTTCTAGATAATTCTAGAAGGGACCCTGCATCAGCCATAAATATTTGACCCCTAAATATTTATACATACTGTTTCTTTCGCTGACTGTGCTATTTTCTTTCTCTCTCCTGACTTTGATCTCATTAATTTCTTAGTTTGCCGACTTCAATTTAGATTCCCCTTCCAGACAGTCTTTCCACATGTTTCTACTTCCAGTCATTCCACATGCCCCCAAGGCTGGGTTGGATTAGATAGTCTTAGACATGTTCTCACCAATGCCTTAGCCTCTCTCATAGAACCTGCCACACTGCACTCTGTGTATAAGCGTAATTTCTTTCTTTTTTTTTTTTAAGATTTTATTTATTATGTGTACAACATTCTGCTTCCATGTATATCTGCACACCAGAAGAGGGCACCAGATCTCATTATAGATGGTTGTGAGCCACCATGTGGTTGCTGGGAATTGAACTCAGTCAGTGCTCTTAACCTCTGAGCCATCTCTCCAGCCCATAAGCTTAAGTAATTTCTATTATGCTATAAGTTTTGCCCGAAATTTTGATAGGTCATGTCTTGGTTACTATTGTTGTGATAAAAACACCATGACCTTGGGGGCTGGAGAGATGGCTCAGAGGTTAAGAGCACTGACTGGTCTTCCAGAGGTCCTGAATTCAATTCCCAGCAACCACGTGGTGGCTCACAGCTATCCATTATGGATCCTGGTGCCCTCTTCTGGTGTGCAGATATACATGGAAGCAAAATGTTGTATATGTAATAAATAAATAAAATCTAAGAACAAACAAACAAAAACCCACCGTGACCCAGGCAACTAATAAAAGAAAGCATTTAATTTGGAGCTCACAGTTTGAAGCTCCATGATAATCATCGGGTCAGCAAGTGATCATTGCAGCAGGCAGGCATGGCACTGGAGCGTAGCTGAGAACTTACTTATATCTTGATCCACAAGCACAACTCAGAAAGAACTGAGACTCCTCCCCAGTGACACATCTCCCTCAGCAAGGCCACACCTCCTAATCCTTTCCAAACAGCTCAGTGAACTAGGGACATGGTATTCAAATATACAAGCCGGTGGAGGCCATGCTCATTCAAACCACCACAGGCCACACAGTAGACAACGAAATTTTCTGTTTGGTTTTCTTTTCTCGTTCTCTCTTTTTTTTTTCTCTTCATTTCCCCATTTCTTTAAGTCTCGTGTAGTTCATACTAGCCTCAAACTTGCTTTGTAACACAGGATCCTGAGCTCCTGATCCTCCTGCCTCTGCTTCTGGAGGGTTGGGATTTCAAATATGTACCACCAACTATTTAAGTAATTTACTTGTGGATCATGTTGTTTGCTTGTCCTTAAGGAAAGCCTTTATAACATTGTGGTGGTTTGAACAAGAATGAACCCCCCCCATAGGCCTATATACTTGAATGCTTAGTCATCGGGGAGTGGCACTGTTTGAGAAGGTTTAGGAGGTGGTGGCTTTGTTGGAGGAAGTATGTCAGTAGGAGTGAGCTTTGAGGTTTCAAAAGCCCACACTTGGTCTGGTGCTGCTCTCTCTGCCTAACAGGATGTAGCTCTTAGCTACTGCCCTGCCTACATGCTGCAATGCTCCTCATCATAATAATTGACCAAAATCTCGGAAAATGTAAGCAAGCCCTCAATTAAATGCTTTCGTTCATAAGAATTGCTTTGGTCATAGTGTCTCTTCACAGCAATAAAACAGTCACTAGGATAAATACTCTCACTGGATGACTGAATAAATCATGGTGATTTACAGAGCTCCTGCTAAAGTCATGTGGAAGTCTCCAGAAGTAGAGACAGAGAAATGGAGTGGGACTCAATTCCAGTCACAGAGTTCTCACTGTACCAAGAAGCCCCTAGTTAAGGTTAGAAAGTGCCTAAGAGCTGTATAAATGAGGCATATTCTCTTACTTTGTACAACAATCACCAAATTTAGCTTCAAAATTTTGCACACTGCAGTGACTATAGTACTTTTCTGTGGTTGGAAGGGGCTGTCTTCCCACTGTTTACATAGACTGTACCCTATTTTTCTTAGACTAGGGTTTGTCAACATTAGCACAGCATCCATGTCTTAGGGTTTCCATTGTTGTGAAGAGACACCATGACCACAGCAACTCTTATAAAGGAAACCATTTAACTGGGGTTTGCTTACAGTTCCCAATTAGTCTGTTATCTTCATGACAGGAAGCATGGTGGCATGCAGGTAGACATGGTCCTGGAGAAGGAGCTGAGGGTTCCACATCTGCATCCACAGGCAACGGGAAGAGACAGTGAGCCACAAGGCCTGGCTTGAGCCTCTGAGATCGCAAAGCCAACCCCTTGGTGATGCACTTCCTCCAACAAGGCCATACCTACTCCAATAAGGCCACATCTCCTAATAGTGCCACTCCCTGTGGACCTATGGTGGCCATTTTTATTCAAACCACCACAATCCATTCGTGTGTTATGTTCATGTGAGTGCTTGTGTGTATGTTCTGGTGTGTGTGTGTGTGTGTGTGTGTGTGTGTGTGTGCTTTCCAGGGTGTGATTACAGGCATTGAGTCTAGTGCTCAGTTTTTTACATGGGTACTGAGGGCCTGAGGACCTGAACTCATGTCTTCATGGTTGCCGACTGAGCTATCTCCCCAGCCCACTGTATCCATTTGGAACAAGATAATTTTGTTCTAGGGCTGTTCAGTATTTGGTGGAAAGGTTAGCAGCATCATTGGCCTCTATCACCTAAATGACAACTGCATCTCCCACCTTCATTTTTGACAAACAAAAATCTCTGCAGATATTGCCAAATCCCTTCATGGAGGGTCAAAAATCACCCTACTATGTTTCTAGTGGGGGAGGGGTTGCCAGGGATATTTGTCTGCTTTTCAATGATTAAAAACATTGTCTACCACCCTATGGAAGGCCTCACCCTGCAGGGGGAGCAGAAAGGATATGTGATAGGTAGGGTTTTAGTGGGGGGTGGGGAGTGGTAGGGGAGGAGGGGAGGGAGAGGGAAATGGGATTGACATGTAAAACAATCTTGTTTCTAATTCAAATAAAAAACATCTGCAAAAAAAGATATGGTAATGTGAATTTAAATTGTTGTTTATCCAGCCTAGTGACTTAAAAATATTACATTATTATTATTATTAAATTAATTGGGCTGGAGAGAAGGCTCAGAAGTTTAAGAGTACTGACTGCTCTTCCAGAGGTCCTGAGTTCAATTCCCAGCAACCACATGGTGGCTCACAACCATCCGTTATGAGATCTGGTGCCCTCTTCTGGTGTGCAGATATACATGGAAGCAGAATGTTGTATACATAATAAATAAATAAAATCTTTTAAAAAATTAATTAAAATACAAGAATGTTAGTATTTTAAAATAATTCTTTAAAAAAATAAGAGAAAACATTGTCTACATTTGTGGCTTTGAAAGTTTTATGTAAAAGGAGGCAAAAGTCACTTTTAATCCAGTCATAAGTTATTGATTATATCCTTACTTAAAATGCATCCACGTGACTGGCACTTAGTGGATTTCAATAATGTAAAGTTGAATGCCTTCTTCAGGATGTAGCTGAGGGACTCACGGTGCCTTAAGGGGATGAAACTAGGAACTTCCAGCCCAGGAGGGAGGGCTGCTCACCTGGAGGCAGGAAGAGCGTGGCGCGCACACGGCCCTCGCGCACGGGCACGCGCCGCACCCCGGGAGCCATGAAGTGACGCTCGTGCACCGCGCGCGCCAGCAGCCGCCCGCCGTCGGGCTCGTGGCCGTCCAGCACCTCCAGCTCCACCACGAAGGGCGTCTGCACGTCGCGCTTGATCAGGCGCCAGAATGGCCGTTCGGGCTCCAGAGCCCAGAGCAGCCCCATGGGCTCGATCCCGGCGAAGCTGCCGCCCAGCGCGGGCGCGCGCGCCAGGTCCAGGCCGCCGTGGTCGTCGGCGCGGTAGCGCGCGTGGGCGCGGAAGAGCGCGCCTTTCTCGTCTCGCAGGGCCGCGCGCAGCGTGACGGGCTGCTCGGGGGCCAGGCCGTGCACGGAGATGCCCAGCGGCTCGTCCCAGCAGCTGCGGCCCGCGGGCTCCAGGCTCAGCGTCACCGCCATCGGAGCTCAGAGGCCGCGGGCAGCGCCACGCGAGTCCGGAGCGGAGCCTGGCCTGCTGTGGAGCCGACCTGGTGGGTCTCTCGGAGGTCTTGACTCGTGGGTCGTGCGCCTCAGAGAAAACAGGGACCCAAACCCGGCTGATGTCTCCCGGGCTGACAGGGGAGGTCAGAGTAGCAGTGGGTCAGAGCCAGCCAGAGGATTCTGCTCACGTGGTGAATAAGATCCAGGCAAAGTCCGGCCCTGGCGTGGATTCAGTAGCAGTTTTTTTGTTTTGTTTTGTTTTTCCAAAAACAAACAACTTTTAAATACTGTGTTCCTTTTATTTTAGGCAATTGTTTGCTACTGTAGATAGGTAAATACTTAAGGTTGGATAATTTATAAAGAACAAAGATTTATATCTTACAGTTTTGAAGTCTGGGACGTCCAAATTTTTTTGGAGGGGGGCAATATTTAGTCACGGGTAGCAGAAAGCAAACAGTACTCAAATTTGGGTGTAATGACCCAAGACAAGAGTGTTAGTATTCAGGCATCTGTACTGGCCTGTCCTTGGGGCTCTGACAGAATACACCCTCAGCTGCAGCCACTAAGAGCACCACCTGTGCCTATTCACTATGTTCCCTTTTCAAAGGGCCCTGCCCACCTCTCCTCCTCCTCTCTGTCTCTCTGTCTGTTCCCCTCTCTATCTCCCTCTCTCTGCCCCTTTTTTCTCTCTCCTGATGCTCCTGTCCCCAGAGGCTGGTCTCCCCCCCTCCCCTTTTTATGATCCCTTTCCCTAATTAAAACAAACCATCTGCTTGAACCCTGTGGCACTGTATATTTCTCTCAGGCGCTGCTTTTCTTTAATTACAACAAAGAGGATCATTGTAATTCAAAGCCAGTCTGGGAGATTCTGTTTTGAACAAACCCATAGACAAAGCAGGCAAGAAAAAAGGTCACACTCATCCTTCAGAGAGAAAATTATAGATAACCCACTCCTGCTGTGACTCACTCCATTTACCAGCCTAGAGTCCTCTTTAAGTTTCTACCTACCATACTGGGGCAGTTATTAAGTTTCTACGACACAAGCTTTGAGAAACACTTTGAAACATAGCAAACTCACATACATAAAGAATAGGTTGGTTGTGTAAAGATAATTTATACACACAAGACCATATGCGCATATCCTTACACGGACAAGATTCAGAAACGGATCTCTCACTTCCATACCCTAGGAGACACTCTTCTGATGCAGGTGTTTTTTCCTTTCCAAAAGATAATTGTTTTAGAGTATGTGGAAGTCATAATTTTAATGGTAAATTAACTATAGAACAGTCCCTACAGGACTGCATACATATTGAATTACACATCTGATTGCCAGTGGCTGGAATTTCAGGTTAAGATATTAATTGTTGCTTCAACTGGGAGTTTTTAAAGTTTTCTTTTCATCTCATTGTGAAGCAGTTTAATCTAAAATTGTCTGTGCATATCAGAGTCATCCTTTGTGACGATGTGGGGATTCAGCTTGACCTCATTATTGGTACCTTGGTTATAACTATCTTGTCCAGGTTATGCTATTACATACCCACAGGAGGAACAGAGCCATTGAGACAGTCATCTAAGCACAATATGCCAGCCGCTGCTGCTCATATTGGTTTTTTAACAGACAATAAGAAATCAGAGAAGACTAGCTACATCCCAGTTCTCATGGCCCACCTCTGCCAAACGTGGGGCGAAAATGATTATGATTAGATGCAAAAATCTTCCTGTCATGTTGCTGGCTGCTCAAGACACATTTCTGTCTGTAAGTCCCCAGAAAACCATATCCTGTTTAATTCTGGAGCCGTCTGTTTCTTTTGTTGGTCTCCTGGCTTCTATGATTTTTGGCTTCAGTGCTGGCACATCAGGACTGGGTTTGTTTAAGCACACCACATGCCTCCTGAGTACTAATGACTTAGAAGCTTTGGTGAACCATTCCCTTTTCATTGTTTCCATTCATCCTAAATTCTGAAAATGGCCGGGCGATGGTGGCACACGCCTTTAATCACAGCACTCCAGAGGCAGAGGCAGGTGGATCTCTATAAGTTCGAGGCCAGCCTGGTCTCCACAGCGAGTGCCAGGATAGGCTCCAAAGCTACACAGAGAAACTGCGTCTCGAAAAACAAACAAACAAAAATTCTGAAAATGAAGTGAACCTTATAGTGTCTTAGAGTTTGTCTACCTGAAGCTAACAGAACTACAAGTAGAACAGGGTATGCTTTGTAATCCACCATGCTTTGATTTCTTTTTAAAGATGTTTTCTACATTGTAATCTTTAGAAAAAAATCTACCATTATTTTATTTCTTTCTTCTAAATTGGTATACAGTATTCTCAGATATGAAGTATGAGCATGTTATCGAGAATATTTTTCTAAATTGTCTTTGGCCACTGGATATGTGGTGACTGTTAAGTCTGTCACTCTGTGCTCACTGTGTTTTTTTCAGATTCCCTGTGTTGGCTTTCCTAATAGTCTTTTATACCTATATACAAAGACTAAATTTCTAGTTGTTGGCTTGCATTGGATTTTGCTAGACATTTCATAGTCTCTATTACAAGAGACATTTGCACTTCATTCTGTGGGAGGATCTTCCCACCCAGAGTACAGCTCGTCATGTATACACTGCTGGTGGCTTGTTGTCTCTGAGTTAACCTTAAATCTAATCACCCACACATTAACTTGGGGATTCAGTGACTGGTGTATGCAAACCCCATGCTACCCAGAGCAAAGGTAATGAGGGGAAAGGACAGTCTGAGAGATGAGGCAATCACCTGGCAAGAGAGCTAGACTGAATCTTTGTGATCAACTGCCTTTGTTTCCCCATCACTAAAGAATCCCATGGCTTACACTGATCAGAATGACTAAGATCAAAGACACCGATGACAGCTTATGCTGGAGAGGATGTCCTGAAAGGGGAACACTCATCCACTGCTGGTAAGAGTGCAAACTTCTACAGCCATGTGGAAATCAGTATGATGATTTCTCAGAAAATTAGGAATCAACCTACCAAGACACTGCAATACTACTTTTGGGCATATACCCAAAGGAGGCACCCTCATGAGCACCACAAGGACATTTGCTCAACTATGTTCATAGCAGCAATATTCATGATAGCCAGAACTTGAAAACAACCTACATGCTCCTCAGCTGAAGAATGGATAAAGAAAATGTGGTACATTTACACTATGGAGTACTACTCAGTGGTAGGAAATAATGACATCCTAAAATTCTCAGGCAAATGGATAGAACTAGGAAAAACCATCCTAAGTGAGGTAACCCAAAACCAGAAAGACAAATATAGTATATACTCACTCATAAGTGGATACCAGAAATAAAGCAAAAGATATCCACCCTACAGTCCACAACCCCAGAGAAGCCAGAAAACCTCTTCCAGAAACAGATGGAAGCAGATGCACAAATCCACAACTAAACATTGGGCCAGCTCCTGGAGTACAATCAAAGTGTAATATGAACAAAGGAGTCAAGACCATGGTGGGGAAACCCACAGAATCAGCTGACCTGAGCTAGTGAGAGATCACTGACAAACGGGGAATCTGCATAAGACTGAACTAGATTCCTTTAATACAGGTGACAATGGTGTGACTGGGACAATATATGAGGCCACTGGCAGTGGGTCCAAGACCTAATACTAATGCACAAACTAACTTAGCTGAGACCCTTGTATATATATGGAAAGATACCTTGCTCAGCCTAGGTACAGGGAGAGGAGGGGGAGGGTCTTGCTCCTGCCCCTAGGAGATGATGGGACAGAATTAATACACTCCTAGGGTAGGACTACCCTCTCTGAGGAGCAGATAGGTGGTAAGGGGGGAGTGGGGGTGGAGGAGAGGTTAAGGAGAGGAGGGAGATGGAACTGAGATTGGAATGGATATAAATAAATCTAAAAAAAAGACAATCTGATGGCTGCAGATCATGTGGATGCCATCCCTACTAGACCTGGAGTTGTCACTTGCATGCTGTGCCAGAGAGCATGTATGCTTCTCAACCTCTCAAGTTTCTTTAAAATTGCTGCCCTCTAAAGTGCAGTGGGATAGCTTGCTGACAGAGTGATTGCCTACCATGCACAAGTCCTGGGCTAAATCCTTGGCACCATAAGAAAGTAGGAACCACTGTGTCCTCAAACTAATGAGGAAGATAATCCATAAAACTTTTTTTGGGGGAGGGGAACCTCAAGTTGTTATTAAAAGGAGAAAGAACATATATAGCTATACATATCTTAACAGTGGTGGCCATTCTCAGGAGTGATCAGCATCAGAAATGTCACCACTCAAAATTACAGTTTCGCTAGGGTTGTCCTCACTTCACCATCCAAATGTTTGTGGAAAAAAGTCTGGAGTTTCTGCCACGCATCCACCTGGGCCATGGCATGAGCCCTGGGCTCTCCCCCAAAGACGACAGGTTTTCCAAAATAGGCGTGTAGGGAAGCCTTGCACCAAGGGAAATAAGGGGGCTCAATATAGTGCCCCGTTTCTGGGTAGCAGATGACCTGGGGCTTCTCCTTCCCATGGGCCTCTAAGCGTTTGGAGATCTCATTGGCATAGAACTCGCTCTTCCAGTTGCGATCATCCTGACCTACAAGCAACAGGAAGGTGGTGTCTGACCTTTCCACGGGGATGATGCTCTTCTGGTCAGGTCCTTCTATAGGGCAACTCAGGACATCAGAAATGTCTGAAAGGCCATCTTTGGTCACCCTGATTCGATCTGCATTTACTCTCAAAGGGGGCAGGGTCTCATCCTTGTAGCACAATTTCCCAACAACATTGGCCAAAGAGCCATTGATGATGACAGCGGCCGTGATGCCTTGCAGGAAAGAGGCCATGGAGAGGCAGAGTTCACCGCCTCTGGAAATCCCTAGAAGGCCAATCCCTGGTCCCTTGACCTAAGAAAGAGACAGAGAAAAGGAAGGGCATGAGTGCATTTAGTCAGTAGGATACTTAGTGGTGCTAATCTATGAATGCAAAGCAG